AAACAAAGCAATAATAATTGTTTATATAATGTAAGTTATTTTAAAAAAACTAGTATTATATTATATATAATGCTAATTTAATTTAAATGTTAATAATAAAATAAAACACAAAATTGTTATTATACATATATTATTAAAGCAAATCATCATTACAAATAAGATAAGTATACTTTCAGCTTATTTTTTTAATATACAATGATTACTTTCACTTTTACTTTTTATATTATATATAATAATGAGATAATTTATACATCGCACATGTGACGTTGTCACCCCATAAGATCAGGTGTAATGTAAATCAAAACAACTAAACTAAACTGAATTATTTCATATAGTTAGGATTAAAGTTAGGTTGGGTTAGAGTATGGGCGAAGATAAGGCCTTATAGTAAAATTTTGCAAGGAATTTTTTTTTGTTAGAGTACAAAAGATGGTTTCATATGCAAAATTTTGACTTATAGATGGTTTTTGCAAAACGAACGTTTGTTTTGAATTTTTTGATCGTGTAACATTACACCTGATCTTGAAATTTGATTAGAAGAGCGACATATAAAGCGCATTGCATGATGCAATGAATAAATTTACTCTATAATAATAATTTAATATAAATTTAATAATAAGATAAAAACATGTATAATTATATCAAATTATTATTACAAATAAGATAAATATATATTTAGCTTATTTTTTTGCAATATAATGATTATCTATTAACTTTATTACTCAATTTTATAGATAAAATAAATTATAAATACGCATAAGTTGACCAAATAAATCTATTTTTCTTATATAACAAATAAGTCATAATATATTAAGTTCTTAATTTTAAGAAATATAAAAATAACTTTTTGCTATTTAAGAAGATAAAAACATTTTTAAAAATTTTAAAAATAAATAATAATGCTTATAATAACACTTCTAATGTACTCTAACAACACTTCTAACAACACTTTTAATGATGCTTCTAACAACACTTCTAACAATACTTCTAATAAACTTCTAATAACACTTCTAATAATACTTTTAAAAATGCTTTAAAAAACACTTTTGACAATGTTTTTGCCAATGCTTTTGATAACACTTCTAATAATACTTCTAATAACACTTCTAACAATGCTTTTATAAACACTTTTAAAACACTTTTAACAATGCTTTTAACAATACTTCTAAAAACACTTCTAACAATAGATCTAATAACCCTTCTAACAACACTTCTAACAATGCTTTAAATAATACTTCTAATAATAACTTATCTACAAATACTAAACAATTCTTATCAACTGCTTTTTTTTCATATTCATATATTGCTGTCCTTTCCAACTAACTTATAATAATAATAATAATGGTAATTCTTCTGATTTATCTATCAAAAGTATATAAGTGTACAAAAATATTTGAGAAAATAAATAATAGAAATAGACAATAACAAACTATTTCATTTTGACATCTATCCCTTTAATGACAACCTTCTAACTTCCTATACTTATCATGTTCTTATTCCCTCCTCATTGTATATTACACTCCAGCAAATGTGACAGGTCTTTATCACAATAGCATTTATAGAAAAGATCATAATCACGAGATCAATGATTATTTAATTAGAATGAACTATATAACTGTGATGATTGTATATAAATTAACCTTTTTTTTTCCTTAGATGTATATTTTTTTTTTAAATTTTTATTTTATTTTATTATTATTACTATTGTTTGAATACAAAAAGTGTTCTTACAACTACTATTAACAAGTAGATGAACAACTTTTTTAATTAACATCAGTAGTTATACATTTTAATTAGAAGGCTTAGCAAAAATATATATGAAATTAAAGCTAAATTAAAATAGCAGCAAAGTAATATTAATAATAACCTTTCCCAGAAGGTTATGAACATAAATACTTTGATAAAGATAATTTAGTAATAAAAACTAAGTTTTTTTATTTTTTATAGAATGTATATACTGGTATTGAAAATGTCTCTTCTCTTATTATGTATATTCCACCTAGGCAATTATAAAGGATATCTTCAATGTTTATCTTAATAAAATTTATATTTAACATTACTTCTAATAATTTCACAAACCATTTTCTTAAAAAATAGCTAAGTTTAGTAATTTTTTGCTTTTATTAATTAAATGTAATTACAATCTTACAATCATTTTTAATATTTTTTAATTTTCTTTTTTAATAATTAAATATATAATTATAATCATTAATAATTAATTTTAATTTTAGCAATGCTTTTTTTACTAATCAAACATTATACTAGTCACAATTGTTAACAATCAATTATTTAATTAAGCTGCAATTTAGTGTATATTAGGATATGAAAAGCTTCTTCTCTTAAAAAGTAATGTATTTTTAGTTAAAATTGTGAAATAGAAGAATATCGAGATCTTTTTGCAAAAGACAATGATAATATATACTAAGTTTGTACAATTGCAAGAACAGCATTTTTTATAGTAGAGTTCCAAATTTGACAAGTGAACATTGTATATTCACAATTACAGTATACAATATATTATTAAATCCACAATTGTAAAGTGTTTTGTGTACTGAAAAGTATATAAGACATGGTATTGAAGATATTTGGTAAGTAATTATATAAAATATATTAATATACATATTATGATAGTATAACTTTGAAAATAACAAACCTTCATATAAATTAGCTGAATATATCTTAAATGATGAAGGTGAAGTCTATGATTATGACCAATCTGAAGAAGCTTTATCCTAAAATGATCCTAATCTTGGTTCTGACTCTATTCTCTAAAAAACTTCTTTAACAAATCTTTTCTAAAATGAGCTAGATAATTTATTTAGGCTTTTTTGATAGCATAGTGTTTTGTTTTTTCTGCATATAGTTTTAATTTACTTTTAATATACTTTTTGTTTTGCTTTTTTGTTAATATTTGATGTATTTTGTATTGCTTATTGTATTGGTGTCATAATAAAAAAATATAATATACATAAATATATAACTTTTAATAATAAATTCAGCTATTACTTTAAATATTTGTAAAAAGCTAGTTTATCAATTAAATTAAATTTTGAATATATAAATTGATTTTAATAAAATTGATTTATATCGATTTTTTATAATAAATTGATTTGCATCAATTTTCTATTATATATCAATTATTATCTGAATCAATATAACCTAACAGAGAAGATTAACATCAATATATATCCATTATGATTAGTAATTGATATATATCAGTCTATATTTTTTGCTAATGTAGTCTGAATATCCTGTAATATAAATAAAAATATTCAAAAATCAAATTTTATAAAAGTTTTTGTAAAGAAAAATTTATTTACCCAACTATATATACTTATTAACAAATCTACTATTTGATTATGAAATTTTATATTCAACCTAACAGATATTATGAGCATCTTTAATTAATTGATCTTGCCTAGATCACTTAATGCAAATTATAACACATGAATTAATTTAGATAAAATATATAACTAAAACAAGGTTAATAATAATCACATATTTCCACAATAATGGAGAAGATTTAAAAGTAATTAGAAAAACTGCTTTGGAAAAAGAAGTTAGTATAAAAGTAGAATATCTTATTGATACTAATAAATTTATAAATTTGTATCTTGTATTCTTGAAACTAATAATATGATATGTAAACATCTAGTTAAAAACTATACTAATCTAATCTAAATTCAGATTTTATGCAATATAGGTGGCCAGAATTATATTAATTTTTGGCCAGCATTGTCATAGGATGACCTACGCACAATATATTTCACATCTATATGCTGAACAAAGTTCAATTTAAATTTAAGCAAGCGATATTGTATTATTAAATCGTTAGTTTCATTCTATTTATACAAAGATATCTGTTACAAATTTAATCATTATATTCAAATATTACATATTTATTTAATTTATTTAGAATATAATTGCACATTTAATTTTATTTAATTAACTATCTGCTATCAAACGTGCAGCATTATTATACTACTTTCGAAGATGTTGCGCAATTTCTAAAATAATACTGTTTAATTTCAAAGATATTACACATTTAATTCTAAAACATTTATTTAGCATCTAATTTCGCATATTAATTTTGCATTTAATTTCGAAGATATCAATAATTTTCATAAATTCTAGTTTTGATATAAATTTCAAAGATATATTACATACATGTATTAATTTTTTGCTACAATTGCGTTTAAATTTGAAGATATTAATGATTAATTTCGAAAATATATGTAAGATAAAGATAAATTATCAAAGATAAATCTCATATCTGCGGTAAATCAAATATTTAATTTTCGGTGATCTAAATGGATCAACGAAGTGATTCCCGATGCTCGCCAATCCGATTTGACTCGGAGGTCACGGGACCGCCACTTTTTTGCGGCATTTCTATTTCACTCTTCACTGACAAAATAATTCTGGTCATTGTCGTTAGGGTCAGACTAGAAATAGAGTTAAGGTTAGTGGAATTTATAAAAAAAATTTGTCTATGAAATAAGCTTCGGTGAAATAAATTGTCGGTAAATAAACTTGTGGCGAAATAATTGTCGGTGAAATAAACATGTCGGTGAATTTTGTCGGTGAAATATTATATCTGCGAAATGAGTGTCGGCGTATCCGAATTTTCTACGTAGATCTACATTGGGATTGAGACTTTTTATAAAAATTTATATAATGATAACATTGATTTAATTGGTATACAAATTTTTAAATAAAATTTAAGATATAAAATATTAGCATGAGAATTACGAAGCTAAAGTAAGGAATTTTTTGGATACTGAACATTTTTACTTAATACATTCAGTCTTGGTTATTTAGACAGTTTTTGAGATATAGTTACTGTGGTGTTAAACATCATTGGTGATTTAACAATACCGTTTTAATATAATAAGATAATTATTAAATGTCTAAATTATTTAATAAAAGCAATTAATGCAGTAAAAATGCAGCAACTATTTATATAATTATATTTAAAATATTTAATCCAATATTTTTTTTCAATTTTTCTCAGTAATCCCGTGTGATGAAGTGTCATGCGATGAAGAAACATTTGTTTCTGAAACTTCGTGTGCATCATTTTCTTTAGCTTTACGTCTTGCAGCGTAAGCGGCAATAACCAAGGCAAAATGAATCTATAATACATAAACAAATAATTACAATTTGTTATCAAGTTAACCAAATACAAATTCCATTGAACATACCAAAAGAATGGCAAATAAGAAATAAATAATGAAAGATGTGATTAAAACTGTGTTATATTCATTATTGCACTTGTCCACTGGATAATCTTTAGAATAGGAGGAATAGTTGCCAGTCTTAATACAATTGTCCACATAGGAGTCTTTATATACAATCGATAATATGATTGAGATTATAAAACTTAGAATCTCAATAATCACAAAAATATTATAAATGATAGAATAAATTCTTAAATGATATGCTGTTTTCTTATAAAATAAAGACAAAATGCATAGTCAGAGTATAGAGATAATGCAAAGCCTAATATCATCGCACACTATATTACACATATTACATACCGCGCAACAACAAACGATAAGCCCATAAGTAAATCCTATAAGGAATATGGCATTTATAATTAAGTCTACAATGTATCTAGCATTATCTATAGAAACAAATTCACGATATTAGCAACTTGTTAAAGAAAATATAAAAATGAATAAATAATGCATACAATTGCTGTTTACTATTGATAATATATAAGAAATGGTGCTATATCCTGATGAAATCTAAATAATATACAATAATTATTAAATATAGCATATATATGAATAATTTTGATCAAAAAAGCGTACATTTATTATATAAAATAACTTGCCAAAGATAAAATTGTTATAATAACAACACCTCCTCTCAAGGGAATACAACAACAAAAATTATTAGTTTTATTAACTAAGTTCATCTTGATTGTTAGACTTAAAAAACAATTAATTAAAAGTTTGTCTATTTATGTAAAAAAACCTTAAATGAATGTAGGAATTTAATTAAGACTTTTAAAGAATTTAAAAGCCAAATTAAGTAAACAATACAGTAATGTTTATATCGAATTTAAGTAAAAGTTCGATACTGTACTTCACGTAACTTTAAATGCTTGACCAAATTTGGAAGTTTCTTACTGCTTTTAGAAATGGCGGCAAAAAATTTTATGTGCGGCGTGAAGTTATCTGTCTTCATAAGTAATTATTAAATTGTATCCATTATCCACTTCATAAACATGTCGTTGTACGTACGTTGGTTGTGAAAGGGTAGATCAACACTAAAATGACTTGGGTTGGATCTACTAAAAATAGATGCGAAAAAAAATTAGTAGCGTTGGTTTTGTTTAATAACCATTCAAAAGTAATAGCAAAAAAGAGATCAATACCTTAGATAGAATGAATGTTTACTATAGTCGATATTTTCAATATAGTGTACATGGTCAATATGGTGTACATGGTGTACATGGTGTACATAGCGTACATAGTAATCATGGTAAACATGTGAACATGGTGGACATGGTGGGTCTGTTGAATTTAGTTAATATTGTGAACCTAGTCATTATGTACTTCATATGTACAAGATATAAAAGAATCGCCTTTTTGCCAAAATAAAAACTAACTCTCCATTTATCAAAATCCATACGATATAGCAAAATATTAGGGATGTTAAAAGCCCTGTCCGGTACAGTTCTTTTAGAGATGGGCAAAAATTTTATATATTCTTCATATTTTTACATAATTTAACATATTCTTACAAATTATGGTAAAATCAATACGCCAAGATAAAAAAAAACTTCAATTTTAATATATTTTTTTTAAATTTTTAGCAACCGATTTTAATTTATCGCATATTAATTTAATGACTAAACATTATGATTTTTCTTGAATACTATGCGTAGCTTGAATAGAAGATTCAATTACAGCTTCATTATGTATAATTTGATCATTTTAAAATTACCAATGTTTTCAATTGCCTGCATTACATTTTCTTCAAATGTTTCCTCCAAATTATCAGCATTATTTTCCATATAATCAAATTCAATAGAATTAGTTGTATTAGTTTGACGATTTTTGATTAAGCCTATTTTCCCTATTTTCTTTATTTTGAACAATATGATGTGAATTATTTGTTTCTTGTGCAATATGCCATCGAATGCATGTTATTTTTTGTTGCACGTTCATTAATAAATTTGTTACGCTGTGGTGAATGGTGAATGGATATTTGCAATAAATGACCAGTATCTTTCGCTTTCAGCAGAATTCAGCAGGTACGATCGAACCTTTTATTTAACTCAAACAAGTTTGCATACATGTAGTTTATAGTTATTTGTATTCGATGACTCTTAAATTACTTAATAATAT